CCTCTGCCCACCGAGGTGGGGGCCGACGGCGCGGAGGACGTGGCCGCGTCCAGCAGGAAGTTCCTGGACGGGGACGAGCTCACGCTGGCCGACTGCAACCTGCTCCCCAAGCTGCACATCATCAAGGTCGGTGGCTCCCGCCCCCGGACGGGGCTGTGTGCACATTTGACTTGTGGCCGGGGACAGCACAGGACCCGGAATGCGAGGAGCCGGCCACCCGGGTTCAGACACGGGGTCAGGTGTCCTCCGTCCTCGGGGCGTCCTCGTCGCTCTCTCCGCATGACCGCCACGGAGGGGTGCGTGGTCACGCCGGCGTCTGAGCTGAGGCTGGGACCTGCTGAGTGGGATCTGTGAGATGAGCTGGGATGGCCGCCGGGTGCGGTGACGGCCAGGCAGCCACGCTCCGTGAGGGCCGGCCCACTCCCACGCGGGGCTTAACAACCTCAGTTAGTTCATATTCTCTCTCTCTCTCTCTCCTTCTCTCCTTTTTTCTTCCTTTTAAATATATTTTTATCAATTTTAGAGAGGAAGGGAGAGGGAGGGAGATAAAAACATCAATGATGAGAGGGAATCACTGATTGGCTGCCTCCTGCACGCCCCCTACTAGGGATCAAGCCCGCAACCTGGGCCTGTGCCCTGACCAGGAATGGAACTGTGACCTAGGTCGATGCTCAACCACTGAGCCACACTGGCCGGGCAGCAGCCCCAGTTCTTAACATCAGCCCCACAGCTGGGGAGAAGGGACAGGTCTCTGGCTCGGCCACGGCCGCATCTGGCGTCCTGTCTCCCCAGATGTTGCGCGTGAAGTGAAAGTCACGGGTCATGCATCATTAGGGTTGAGAGATGCCCTGGGACTGCAGTTCTTCTGCACGAGGATTCAGACGAGGTTTCAGACGAGATTTCAGACGAGATTTTAGACGAGAATTCAGACGAGATTTCATCTCGGCAAGGCATAGGAATTGTGGAAGCGTGAACCCCTCGACCTGGCCCCCGACCGTCTAACTCAGAATTCCGGGAGTGGCCCTGAGATCCGGGGGCTGGTGGCCCCCCCTGGAATGCTGGGCCGTGGCTGTCCCGCAGGGGTACCCCAGCCCGTCACTTACACGTGTCAGCTACTCGGTCATTGTCACCACTGCTATGCCCTTGGCCCTCAGTGACCTCAGATGCCCCAGGAAGAAGTCTTGTTCCGAGGGCATCTCTATTATTCACAGCCCACTGGGTCCAGAGCTGGGTCCTTGGTCTAGAACAGCGGTTCTCAACCTGTGGGTCGCGACCCCTTTGGCGGTCGAACGACCCTTTCACAGGGGTCGCCTAAGACCATCCTGCATATCAGATATTTACATGACGATTCATCACAGTAGCAACATGACAGTGATGAAGTAGCAATGAAAATGATTTTATGGTTGGGTCACAACATGAGGAACTGTATTTAAAAGTTTGGCTCAGTGGATAAAGCGTCGGCCTGCAGTCTGAAGGGTCCCAGGTTCGATTCCAGCCAAGGGCATATGCCCAGGTTGCAGGCTCATCCCCAATAGAGGATGTGCAGGAGGCAGCCAATCAATGATTCTCTCTCATCAATGTTTCTATCTCTCTCTCCCTCTCTTCCTCTCTGTAAAAAATCAAAATATATATTTTTTTTAAAAAAAGAAACTTCGTGGCCCATGCTCAGAAGTCGGTATTTTGTGGAAGAGCCACACTCAAGGGGCCAAAGAGCCGCATGTGGCTCGCAGGCCGCAGTTTGCCGACCACTGGTCTAGAAGGATGGGGGATGGGAAAGACAACACAGGGACACTGTGAAGGTACGGATGGGTTCACACAGCCTGTGGCCCTGAGGCGCCTGTGAGCACCACCCCTACCCCCGCCTTGCTCTGCCTGCACTTCTTCCTTCTCCCGGCCCAATCCCTGCCCTGCCCCAGTTTCTTTTTTCTTCTCTCTTCCCTGTTGTGCTCGAAGGTACCTGTGAAATTCTAGCCTTAAAGATATTGCTGATCCTACAGGGGAGTGTTCAGAAAAGAGCATAATAAATAGCTTTGTAATGTTATAACGACAATATAAATAACGTTGCCAGTGCTGACACCTGAAACTTAATGAGAGCGTGTTATCCCTCCTGCCTGCGGCACTGGCGATGGTGCTCCTGTGACAAAAGCACTTTACATTTCAGTTTGAACAAAGTATTCAGAGCGAAATAAAGCCGCCCATGGCTCCCCTACAGAACTATCAGCCGAGCCTCCGAAGCCCCTTGGCTCTCAAATACCACCCAGCCTCGCGGTCTCCCAGGCCGAGCGTTTCCCACCGGACAGGAGAGTCAGTCTGCAGGGATTTATGGGAAAGAGGAGGGTCTGACAGAGGGCTTTGTCATTTCTTCCCCGTCCTGAAACCCAGCATTGGCTCCGTCTGTCACACGACCAGGAAGGGACAGACTCCCGTGGAGGACTGAGGGACGCCACCCAGAGTGAGTGCCGCAGGGACGGCGTGCCGTCCCGTCTTCAGCAAGGCCGGGTGGCGCGAGGGTCCATCCCACAGCCCGAGAGCCAGCACAGCGTCTCTGTCCGAGGAGGCAGAGATCACCTGGGAGCGGAGGCCTCTGGGAGGCAGAGCTGGAGGAGGAGCCCATGGTGGCACCTTGTTTGCATTCTGTCACTGTCCCCTGACCCAGAGGACAGGGCGGGAGGTGCAGTGGAAGAGAAGGGAAGTGGCAGTTCTCTTCCTTCCTTCCTTCCTTCCTCCCTCTCTTTCACTTTCTTCCTTCCTTTCTTTTTTTAGTGAGGGGGGAGGTAGAAAAGCATCGATGTGAGGGAGATACATCTATCTGTTGCCTCCCATACACGCCCAGACTGCACCTCAACGGGATCAAACCCGCAACCTAGGTAAGTGCCCTGACCGGGAATTGAACCTGTGACCTCCTGGTGCCCAGGATGATGCTCCAACCAACTGAGCCACACACACCAGGGCCTGAGCTTTATTTTCAGCCAAGGTGGCCTCCTGCCTAATCGGTGAGCCTCAGAGCGGAGGATGCCTCCCCTGGACCCTGACCCTGACGGTAACCCTGACCCTGACGGCAACCCTGACCCTAACGGTAACCCTGACCCTGACGGTAACCCTGACCCTAACGGTAACCCTGACCCTAACGTGTCCCCTGTGACAGAGTGTAGAGCAGTCTTTGGTGAGACTGTTTGAGGGTAAATATCCAAGTTGGCCAACCAGCGGCCCCGTCTCACTCCCTGGGCCCTTCACACTGGTGTTCAGCACATGGTTGGCGCAATAGGTCTTCCTTGTTCAAAATGATTCACAACCAGAAAGAACCCACGTGGATGCAGATGATCAGAAAGGGGAGGGGAGGGTAAGGAGGCGGGAAGCCGGAGGGAGAGGCGGTGGAACCACGCGTCTGATGAAGAATGGCTCCCATAAATTACAGAACATTCCAGACAGACGTGTCTCTACAGCCTCGGAGAAATGGAGGCGTACATGGATCTTTGGAGAAAAACCTCAAAGACGACACGCAGATGAAAAAATAAATATAACGCCACTGAGAAGAGGACAACCAGACAGGCAGAGCTCAGGAAGAAGACAGATAACGCACTTCAGACGGAGAGGCTAGATGAGAGGTCACAGGAAGTGGAAATGGACGGTGCAGGCGTGAGCCAGGGGCTTGGAGGGTGGGCCTGAGAAAACCACCCCAAACCAAGCGGAAAGGAGCCCGGAGGGAGGCTCCAGATGGACACAACCAGGCACAAGAGGACGGGAAAGGGAAACGAAAAAAAGAGGGCGCAGAGGGAAAGTCACTTTGAACTGAAGGATGCCCCAGGCCATCAGTTTAAACAATAGGCCCTTGTCCTGTCGGGTGGCTCAGTGGTTGAGTGTTGGCTTATGAACCAGGAGGTCACGGTTTGATTCCCGGTCAGGGCACATGCATGGGTTGCAGGATCGATCCCTAGTGTGGGGCATGCAGGAGGCAGCCGACCGATGCTTCTCTCTCATCATTGATGGTTCTGTCTTTCTCCCTCTCCCTTCCTCTATGAAATCAATAAAAATATATATTAAAAAAAACAAAAGCCGCGATGGCAGAGAGATAGCAGGCAAACGCAAGCACCAGGAGAGTGGGATGGCCGCCACGAGCATCAGTGGGCAGGGACTCCAGGGGGAGACGGGAAGCGGAGCAGGGGCTTTCTCCAGGCCACGCGTCCTGTTTGCGGCCACACCGCGCCCGTGGCTGCCAGTCCCCCCATCCGAGAAACAAGCCCTGAAGACCTTCTGGTCTGTGGTTAAGCCCCAGGTGGCTTCACTCAGACACCCCAGATCCAACGCACAGATCAGAGCTGGCTTTTGTAGCCCCAGATCCCTGTGAGGGGATGAGCTGTGTCCCCCAAATTCATATGGTGAAGCCCCAATGCCAGGACCTCGGAACGTGACCTGATTTGGGAACAGGGTCTTTGCGGTTCCTGTCTGATTAGTAGGGTCACGTGAGGTTTATTGGAGTCGGGGGGCCCCAACCAATATGATTATAAAAAGGGGGACATTGGGCACAGAGACACACGGCGAAAACTGTGAGGAGCGGCGTTCTGCTGTCACAGGACCAGGAACTGGCAGGAACCGGGAGGGGGACCAGACACAGTCCCCCACGGCCTGCAGAGGGCGCGGCTCCCTGACACCTTGATCTTGGACTTCAGTCCACCAGGACTCGGAGAAGGAAGTTGTGTTGTCAGCCGCCCAGCTCATGGTGCTGTCAGGGCAGCCCTAGGACACGGACAATATCCCCACAGGGGACACTTCCTTTGTGACTACATCCCCAACAGCACCCCTGCAGCCAAGGGAACATCGCACCGTTGTGTTGTCTGTGACATTTCCTGTCGGTTCCCTGCCCCTACCGTGTCCCTGGGGTGAGGACTTGAGTCTGTCCTCTGTACCCGGCCGACCACAATGCAAGGACCCTCAGTGGCAGAAGGCGGAGTGTCTGCAGGCCTCACACAGACACGTGGGATCCAGGAGGCCCCGCGTGGACTTCACAGAGGACTGAGCACAGTCCGAACTGAACATCCATCCTGAATCCTTCGCACCCAGCCCCCGGGAGCACAGCCCCCGGAGAGGAACCTGCGGGGCAGCAGGGGAGTCCACGGGACACAGAGCGGGGTGGCTGTGAGAACTGGGGGGCGGCGTGGCCTGGAGCCACTGTGTGGAGGCTGGTACCTCGCTAACCTGCCCCATCCCCAGTGTGTCCCCTGCGAAGTCAGCGTCACCCCGGCCGCCGGGGTCTTGGGGTGGCAGAGGGCCCCCTCAGGGAGTGCGCCGTCTCCTCGAGGTGCCGCGCTGGTGGGTTCCCCTCTGACCATCTCTTCATTTTCAGGTCGTGGCCAAGCGGTACCGAGACTTTGAATTTCCCTCTGAAATGACGGGCATCTCGAGGTACCTGAGAAACGCCTACGCCCGGGACGAGTTCACCAACACGTGCCCAGCCGACCGGGAGATCGAGCTCGCCTACTCGGATGTGGCCAAGAGGATGAAGTGAAGGGGGGCCTGGCGCGGCCCGGCCGGCGCGGCTCTGGACGGTGCCCTCTGCGTCTCCCGCAATAGCCACCCTTCGCCGGAGAGCGCCCCTTTTCTTTAGTAACGCCCCAGGCTGACCCACCAAATGGCACGGGGCTGTCACGTCCCCTCCCGCGTGCCTCTGAGCAGCACCGGTGCCGCCTGCTGTCCCCCCGACTTCGTTCCTCTTTGTCGCCGCCTCTGACGGTCACAGGCGTCGGGGTGTTCCGGGCGCGTGCTTTGCAGTTTAAGTTCCAAAGCAAATCAGGTCTGGGCTCGGTGCCTCCTTTAAGGAGAGCGGCGTCTGCCTCCGATAGTCTCAAGTCGCCAGCCTGCTTTTCTCTCTAATAGTATTTTAACTTTTCTCAGAATGAAGCTGCTGTTTTTGTAATTACCCAATAACAGGTGCCGATTTTAACATTTTAACACAATGTCAGAGAGTAGAGATAGAAGAAAAAGATCGCTTGAAATTTCATTGCCCTGAGATCACCGCTGATAACCGACTTGGGGCATC